CTAACCATTCTATGATTCTATGATTAGTTAACACTGGCGTGATGGGAGGAGGAACAGAAAGCATCATGTTAATGATACGGTTGGATTAGAAGTTGGCAGCTGGAGCACTGCCCTGTAAATTATTAAACAGTATTTCCTGCTCAAGTTAAACAGCTAAGCAGATTTTCATTATTTTTTTTCCTGGATTTTTAACCACGAATATGGGGAGGTACATGTAGCATTGCCAAAAGGAAGTTTTATATGCAATCCAGAAAGACCAAGGCACGATTATTGTTTTTTTTTTTTTTTCCCCCCTCTTGTGATTTAAGGAGCCTTTTTCACATGGCAAATAATTTTATTTACTTCAGCTAATCTATAACTATTGTCCTAATGTACAAAACATTTAACGCTTGTCTGTTTTACTGTCAAAAAAGTGGTCCTGATATTTGGGAGCTTCATTGCAACAAAAAAAAACCCTCAAACCACAACACACAGACTGTGGGAACGTAAAATTGCCATGTCATACTGATTTTTCCAGTCCATCGACAGTTTCTGGTAAAGGCCAGTGCTGGAAACTCTGAAGATTATAATCATGGAACAACCTGATTACATTGCTCATGCATTAGCAAAACTTGGCATTTCCAACAAAACATTAACTTCCTTTCCCCAATAAACCAGTGAAAACAAATCCAGAACCCTTTTTTTACCTGTCCTATGAGAAAGGAGAGCGATATTAAACAATCCTAAGTATGTGTTGTTATTAATGTTGTTATTATTTTTTCCTCTTTAACAAAGTAGCAAGGCCTTTGCTTTTGAGGTTTCACAGTGGTGTTCATGGACTGGCTGTATGTATGAAATGGTGTAGGAATATTTCTTTTATTGGGTTGAAGATGATTGCTTTTTCATCAACACATGAATGACCAGCTCTTTGAACTGGGACTCTTTAAAGGGTAAAGGGTAAAACAAAAGATAAATCTACCCCTCATGCTACCTGCTATCCTACTCAGATTGAGCTTTTCCTAATCAACTGGCACTTACTCCTGTAGTCTTTGTGAAGAAAGGCACTTGCAGTTGTGTCAGTGTTTCAGGGTGACTTTGGCAAACAGAACGGATACAGATATTTCTTTGCATTAAAGTGATGTGGACATACATTCACAGCAGTACTTCAGTGAAAACTTTGGGAAACTGGGGACTTGATGTATCCTGATCTGGGACTTCCGCAGAACAGTTAGGTTCCTGGGAGAAGAATAATGAAATTGGCAGTGAAGCGTAAGAAACATGTTCCTAAGACTGGACTGGGTCATTTCTGAAGGGTTAGTGGATCTCATCTTTTTGTAGTCTGAAGAAGACTCTTCTGCGCCAGACTTTCTGAAAGTTAAATATGAGTCTGAGTTATCATGATGTCTGGTTCACATGAATTAATTTCATTTAAACTTGCTTTGGTTCTGTCAATATTCAGGTGTTTTGGGGCACATGTAAATATGAGTTGGTAGAGGGGGATTGATGAAAGAATGGACAAAACATTCCTATATTGACTGCCTCTTCAGAAAGAGAGAGAGAGAGCAAAGTGAGGGAACGGAAGAAGGTCACTCCAGTACTTTCTTTTCAAAGGGAGGGAGAGGATAGTTAGAAGAGTGATACAAAGCAAGGGTTTCACGTTTCTTTATGCTCTGTGACTAATACTTCCATAGCTCCCCCTTGCATGCCTGAATGTAGATGTTTTGATTCCCTGGTGAGAGGGTAGTTGATAGTGAGCTGTGTTGTGTTCTTCCTTCAAGGGATAAATACAGTAAATCCAACTGGGACTGCAGTTGTGAGATTAAACCAGAATAAAGCAGTGAGCAATTTCACTAGTGGAGTCTTTAAATTCCTCCTCTTTACTGGAAAATCTGTGTTAAAATGAGTGTTGTTTGTAATAGTAAATCTCTAGATCAGCCAGAGTTGTTGTGTTTGGCTGTAACCCAGTACTTTGCAAAGAAAAGATCTTGTTACAAGTGCTTTGGTTGGTATTGTTTATAATATTAATGGTAACACAGGTCCTTTGCAATTAAAACACTGTTTTCTGTTTTGCTTCTTCCAGGCAGTGCTGATGAGTAACATCACAGTAAATGAACGATTGATCCAGAGTCTACGAGGTATGTCATAATACCCCTCTGTGTCTCTCTCATATTGTTTTTTAAGCCCCCTGTTTTTAAGACTTGCATTTTTCTGGTGTCTTCTGCAAACGCTGCCTTTCTTCAAGTCATGGGGATGGTGCAGGAGCTGTGGTGACTTTGATCCTGCATCTGCGTAGTTCCAGTTCAGTGAAGCGTCAGACTAATCTACCTCAACAGTAGAAGCATTTGTCCATGTAGTACTTGATGTGGGACACCTGACCCTTATGATATAAAATAATATGGAATAAAACTGGCTTCTGTGGTTTATTGTTAATATATTTATTCTTCATTCTAGCTTTTGCAGCATTTTCTTGTATTCCTTCCTGAAGTGTTTGGGTTGTGTGTTTTAGCACCAGGGGCATTCACAAACCCCTATATTAAATAACGAAACTTGGTCTAATTCATTTCTGCTCACGTTGGTACTTCAAAATTGTTGTTAGTGATTTATTCCTCAGGAAGTCTGGGGAACAGATCCTAAGTTCTACAAACAGATAAATATGTGCCCTCACACAGCTTTATATCAGGAAGTAAATTCTAAATCTTAGATGCCTCTGTTTTAGAGGAACATAACTGTAATTTGCATATTATTGAGGGAAGCATTGTTAGCTTGTCTTTAGATGGCTAATAAACATGAATACCATTTCTTATGATATTCTCAGTAGTATTTCATAGACCTAAAGATTTTCTGGGCTGAAACCTAGCAGAGCAAGGGTTTGCAAACAAGTTAAGAGTATTCCCTATGAAGAAAAGGCGGTCAAAAATCTATGTTACACCATTTTTGTTAATATGTTAGGCGGAAAGACTATTCTTAGTCAGTCCTGCACATCTTTGAATGAATTCAACAATTATCTATGCATTTGTATACAAAACGTAGTGAGAATGACAGATGGATGATGTTAGCATGCTTAGTATGGATCTGTTGTTTGATACTTTTCTTGTAATATATGCAGGTATGCATGTTTGTGTGTATTTTAATGTATATTTTAATCCTGTTTTGGTCAGAACACTTGAAAGAGTTACAGACAGAATATGGCAAGCTACAGCTGGATATTTACTGGTTTCAGAAGAACCAGACTAACCTTCAGAGGAAGTTCTCATATGACTTGTAAGTAAGTTCTTTCTAAAAGATGGCTTCCAGAGTTGTAGGTGACTTGGTTGTAATCCAGAGTATTCTTGTGATAGCTGTAGCGCTGTTAGTAAACATACAGTTTTAAGGAGAAAGTAACATCTGACACATCTTCTAAAGTTGCTCACAGTTAATCTTGGAGAAGAGCTTGCAACGCGTTGTCATCTCAGTATCCACAAACTTCTTCTCCCACACTTCCTGATTTTCCTTCCATTGCAGGAGGAGATAGGCAGTAATAGTCTCATTTAAGAGTTGGAGGGGAAAATTGAAACACAGGCTAAACTCTGAAGAAGTTTAAGAACTAGGACATAGAAATACTTGATGAGAAGTTGTACTTCATTGAGCTGCCAGAGGTCTCAGAAAATTTCTTGTACAGTTATGGTTAGAGCTATGTGTTGTGCATTACAGTTCATACCTAGTCATGATTTTTGTTGAGACTTCCCACTGAATTATAAGGCATGGATAATCGAACACAAGTGCTTATCAGTATCCTACACTAAATACACATTTCTGGTATTTCTAGGAATTTCTCCTGGGTTCTTTCTGTTCAGTAATGTTCTTTCTTCTTCTACTTGTCTTCACATCCTATTATATCTTCCCTCTGGTGTGTGGATACAGAAAACCAACATAATTTGCTGTTTGCATGTTCTCATAATGATTTTCCATCAAGAATATAGTTGCTTTGGTGATGTGTAATTTTCCAGCAGCAATTGTTTAGCCGGGTTTTGTAGGAGGTGTGACTAAAATCTCAGCATGGCAATCAAAGAACTTGAATTCTGCAGGCCAGCTTGAAATACCTTTTTTTTTTTTCTCCCACTGCTTAAGAATTAAGGATTAGTATTAGTGCTTTTGGGATACTTACTGTTTACTGAATGGTTGTGTACTGTTTGTTTTTTTTTTTTTCCCCTTGGCATTATTGCTCATTTAATAATGATGACCCAGATGGTTTGTATTAGTGGAGCTCTAATAATTCAGGATTTCTGGGAGATGAGTAGAAGGAATTTGGAGACATAAGTTTGTACCAACCTTTTGTTAAGCCACATCGCACTCGCGTGTCTGTTAAGGTACATTTTCCCTGTAAGTTTGTTGTGTACCATGGTTGTTAAGCACCATCTTTTTGCTGTTTAGTTAAATGACAGAGCTGTGACTCCTGGACCTCTGTTGATAGTTCTTTGCTAGTTAGAGTATCTCTTTGCCAGCATCTTCCTTATAGGGCTGACATCAGCAAGAATAAATGGATCTGTAGCCATATATGTGTGCTGTACAGTCATGCTCTACATGAGAGGTGCATCCTAGAAGCACTGAATTGATACGTGTGTGCAGGGAAGTGATACAAGGCAAATGTGGTGTCTGGTTCCTGAAAACTCAGGTTGATTGCCCATGTCTGGTGAAATGTTTTCAAGTACAGCTCCATTGAGGAAATCGCCAACAGAGCAGCCCTGCTCGTGGGAAAGTACTGCAAAAAATCCCTCTTTGTTTAACAGAAAGCTGGATCTGGAGGGTACAGCTCCAGGGTCAAGTCTGGCTCAAGGTGAAGAGCTAAACAAGTTAGAGTGGTGAGGATGGGTTTGCTTGCGTCAGGGTAGATACAGAGACAGGCGTGATAATTCAGCCATGTGCTGGCTAAACAGGGACTCAGCTAGCTGGTCTGCCTCCAGTTGGTCCTGGGGCGGGTGAACTGTTTCCTGCAGTCTCTCCACTGGAGTACATAAAACCAGTTATCTCAGTCAAGGAGCTACGCTTTCTCCACTGGCTTTGCTAAATAACACTTAAGTGTTCGTTTTCTATTTTTGGTTTTTGGTTTTATTTTGTAGCTATGCAAGTGAGGAAAACAATCTTTTCACTCAAATTTTCCTGGGATGCTTTATAGCTTGGGCACCCAGTAGCATTCACAGAATTCTAGCAGGAATATATATATAAATATTTTTTAAAAATTTTGCTTGTTGTGTACCTTGGGGGGGGGGGTATGGGAACATTAATATTTCACTGTTGTAGTAAGTTACATTACTAACTTTGCATTGCATTCTGGTAGTTGTAGAAACACATCTGATTGTACTTGGTTACATACAGTCCTCTTTGCTGTTACTAAATGTGTACTTAATACTGTCATTTTTAATGCTTGCAAAGAACTTTTTTCCAGAGTGATTATGGGCCTAGAAAAACAAGGATTATTAGAAAGACTCGAAATACTACTTTTAATCTATCTTCCTTTCTCCCCTCAATATTAGGAGTAAACCAACATATTGCCACTCTGTTAATCTTTAGTAGGCTTTGGCAGGAGGGGGTGTTAGGCCTGCTTTTGTGCTATGCCATGTGCTATGTTGCTTCCTTTGACTTGGAGTAGTGTGGATGAAGGTTTTGCACCTTATGTATCAAGTACATTTTTCCCAGTGGAAAAATGGAGAGTATTCTTGTATAATTGAGAATGTAATAAAAAGATGACAGAAATCAAATGCCTTTTTTAACTGCACTGATTGTAAATCACTGTTTTTAAATAATTGGATGTTACGTTGTAGAAGACAGTGATAAAATCAGTTGTGCATGTGGAATGCATAAGAACATAACAGAGACACAGATTTGTTGGAGTGTGTTCAAATGAGGGCCACAAAGATGATCCAGGGGCTGGAGCACCTCTGCTACGAGGACAGGTTGTGGAAGCTGGGATTGTTCAGCCTTGGAAAGAGAAGACTTCGGGGAGACCTAATAGCTGCCTTCCAATACCTGAAGGGAACCTACAGGAAGGCTGGGGAGGGACTTTTTACAAGAGTGTCCACTGACAGGACAAGGGGAAATGGGTTTAAGTTGAAGGAGAACAGATTTAGATTAGATCTTAAGAATAAATTCTTCAGTAAGAGGGTGGTAAGACTTGAGAATAAATTGCCCAGAGAAGTTGTGGATGCCCCCTCCCTGGAAATGTTCAAGGCCAGGTTGGACAGAGCCTTGAGCAGCTTGATCTAGTTGAGAGGCGTCCCTGCCCATGACAGGGAGGTTGGATTAGATGATCTCTAAGGTCCCTTCCAGCCTATGACATTCTATGATTCTGTGATTTTCTTCCAGCATGATGAACTTCTCATCAGGATCCGCTCAAACCCACTGTTGCTTGTTCCCGTTGACAGTGGGATCAAAGCATACTCAGGGTCACACGATGACTGATTTCTAAGCCTTACACGTGTGTGTTATGGGGTAGTGCTTATCTGCCTTGTTATTCACTGGGTCTTGTTCTTCCTTTGTAAACCAGAAGTTGCAAAATAGGTCATGAAGAGAGTGGGGAGAAAGGGTGATCTCGCCCTGACAGCAGTCACTTCCCACGAGAAACCCACCTTGACAACACTCCTGGGGTTGGTACAGAAGCTTCAGCGCAGCTGTAAAAGGGGAAAACACTGCCCTGGCAGCTTCAGGAAAAACACTGCGACAAGAGCCTAGGGCTTACCTCGGGGTTACAGAGCTGTGAGGGAAAGGCAGGCTGCAGAACTGCGAACAGAAGACCCCTGGTCTCACAAAAGTTAAGGCACTGATGGCACTGTGTAACTATTAATAGTATGTATAAGATATGCAACACTGGCATCTTTAGGAAATACTCCTTTTGGAACTTGTAATCGCTACTGATGAACTCCATTTCTGTAACATATATTTTGTTATGCCTTGTAGCACGGGGCTTTGGTGAAATACTGAGAAAAGGTGCTAAGCTTGCTAGCAGTAGCTTACACTGTTTTTTTATTTCAACTAGTACCTTGCTGTTTCCTCTTGTTAGCTAAAATCCAAATACACATTTCTGTGATCATACTAGAAATGCTTCAGGGGTCAAAACTGATTTTGACTTAACTGAAATTGACTGGTTAGTGAAAGGCAGGAAAATCCATGTAGCTTGTTGAGCTGGTCTAACAAAAGCAGTTTAATTTAATTTCTTCCAGTAGAACGTGGACCGCCTGCACCACGAGTTTGTCTGCAGGACTTAGGTTAACACCCCATTTTTCCTACTGACTTCTCAAATGTAAGCACAGATAATAGAACTAAGAAAATAATAAAATGAAAAAAAAAGTCATTTTACTAAAGAACATTTTAGAAGACTGTGGATGAAAGTTAACAGCTGCTTGTTCATGTTTTCTCCAGGTCACAGTGCATAAACCAGATGAAAGAATTAAAAGAACAATGCGAAGAAAGGATAGATGAGCTTACAAAAAAGGGTAGTGCTATGCCACAAATCAAAGAAAACAAAGACTTCTCAGAAGATTCAAAAAAAAATAGCCTGGTATGGTTTGGTTAATTTCTTAAAAATCTTATTCTTTGTAATTCTTAAAGGGTTTTCCACCTTTCTGCTATCTCCAACTAACATTAGCCTATCTCATTAAGTTTTCAACTGCTTTCCTTTACACTTGTTGAACGTTTCTGATCTGTGGGAAGTGGAGTGATTCCAAGGACAGAGCAAGGCAAAGGTCCTGTAGGAGACTCCAAATCACTGTGTTTGAGATGGGCAGAATTTGAGAGGCAATACTAGGAGTGGCATGGAGCCCATTAAAGAATATTTACACTGCTGAGCTTTGGTTAACAACTTCTTTTGACTTTGTTAGAGGACTTAGTTGCTTTGTGTCTTGAAGGTGTGTGTTGAGGATAAATTGTGAATCACTTCAGAATTGCAGCAAGCCTTGAACATGGTGTTGTAGTCCAAGGGTCTTTGAGCTCCATCAGCTATGAATTTTCACAGAAATCTCAATTTCAGCCTTTTACAGTGGCAATGAGGGAAGATCCAAGTGTTTTAGCTGTTTGTTTTTGAATATTCTGAGTCAAAGGACCACAAAAGGCATGCTGTAGGTGAGATGAGGAGACTCACTAGGATAGGGCAGGCTTGCTGCATAGGGTGGCTGCGTGCCAGCTGACTCCGTCTTCCTGGGGTACAGAGGGCGGGAGGAAATCCTGAGAAAGGGAGGGTTTCAGATCATCCTGTTGTCTTGGCATGTGAACTACTGATGCTTCTTCAGTGAAGCAGGATTTGGTCAGGGATAGGACTTGCCTGGTTAAGCTTGACACAGAATGCCCTGGAAGCACGCAATGAAGCTCCTGGGTGAGAAGGCAAGAGATTTATTTCTGTGTGCCGAAGTAGCCCTTTTTTCAGGCCTATGAGCACGAGTTACAGGAGGTACGTTTTTTACATGTGATTGCAGTGGAGCATTTCCCTCTTACCTGGGTGGCCACCTCTTGTTGGTTTGGTGGTGTATGCCCTTTTCTCTTTGGCTAGGAAAAGGCTAGTAGAAGAAACAATTTGATGACTTCAGAAGTGGAAAGGGTAAAGCAATGAGGGTTGAAGCTGGGTTTTGCAGATAGCTCGAAATGGGTGGGAGAAAATGGCTGAAACATCTGCCCAGAGACCCCTAGGTGTTCAAGTAATGGTTCCAGTCTCTGTCCAGTTCTTTATGTAAAATGGTGGGAGAGAGAACTGCTGAAGTTTGTGACCTTTTATCCTGTGAACCTGCATTGCATGAGCTGCAAGATGAATGAAGCATTAGGGATAGGAAATGCTAGCCAGTTATCTATCCCTTTGGGGAAAAAAAAAAGTGAAAGCTCTTGTTTGTCTATAATTTTTATCAACAGTGTCAAATAAGTAAATAAAAAGTAGTAATAGTAAATACATAGCAATAAGTAAGTAAAAAGCCCATCATTTGGAGATGATACCTTTCTTAAACAAACGTATCTTGTTTAATGTCAAGATGTAAAATACTATTTGGAAAGTTGACATGGGGAAGACCATATTAGAGAGGTGGTCAGTTTAATTTCTGATTTCTAGATTTTCATTTTACTTGTACCAGATGCTTTTTGTTGTTGTTGTTTGGGGTTTGGTTGGGGTTTTTAACCATTTCCAGTTTGAAAGGAGAATCATCCAGAAGGAACCTGAGGAATTTGGCTGGATCCCCTCTGCAAGACGATTTCAGTCTCCTGCAAAAAGTTCCATAGTTGGAAGCAGTTTTTCTCCAAGTAGGCAGCAGGTTAAGCAGGGCAGGTTATCTGTTCTCCTCTTAATCTATAGATAGGATGGTGCCAGATGAGATAACAACCAATACAGCTACAGCCTAAATGCAATTTCTTCTGCTGTCATTTCACTGTCTGTGACAGTGTTTCTTATGTCAAGCTGTAACCTTCTCAGTTGTTTGTTTGCCTAAGGATTGCAACTTGTACAAAAGCTGACTTATTTTTCATTAGTGCAAGGTGACCAGAGGAAATCTATGTACGTTTTAGCAATTGTTTTTAGCTGGAATAATCCCTGTTTGTAAAATATACATGCTTATGTAATGGAAAGGTCAGAGTTAAAGTAAAACAGAGAAAGAAAAGTGAGTGTTGGTTGGTTAATAAATATACAGCTTTTCTTACAGCTCTGTATTTTGAGGAATGATATATACTTCTCAGCTGAGGAATATACAACATGTTCCAATTATCTTTTTATCGAACCACTTAAACTTAAAAATTTTCAGCATACACCCTTTCAATTTATTTGACACCATCACTAAAAATGACTGAGCTAGAAATTTAAGATAATGTAAGTTAAGGGCTTTTGCATGTTTAATTAAGAGGTAATTTCTTGCTATTAAGTGCAGGCTTAGTATTTTTACAGAAGAATTCATGCGCAGCATAAAGTGAAAATTGGTCTTATGTTCAGTTTCTGATGATTTCTACTGTAGAGAGTGACCTCAAGAGGCTGAATTATTTATAAAACAGAAGCATTTTTGGTTTAATGACTGGAGGAAGATGGAGTTCTTCTGAATATCCTTACTGCAGTAACCAAATATTTTGTGGTAATACTTGCTTCTCAAGCTTTCTTAAGAGTTAACTCTAGATTATTTGTTGTTATGTTGGACTTCATGGTGTTGACCCAACAAGGTCTTTATTTCTGCCTTGCTTTGACTGAGCTTAAACCAAAATAGCCAAGTAATCATATCCTACAAATCCTCTGCAGCTTTGGCTTCTTGCTTAATTAACCACTTCTTTCTGCAGATGTTTTTCCAAATGACTGCATGAACGCTTGACAATCTAGTGTTACTGATCCGCTTAGAACAATGGGTAGCTACAATCTTGTCAACAGTCGTAATGGAGAACTTTCTGTTGACTCTACGACTTTCTGTACCATAAGGTTTCCTGTTCATTTGTATAGTATCGAGTATAAAAAGGTTTACATCTCCAAATGTCTGTAATGCTTGTTCTTTCCAACAAAAAATTCCCCTAGAACAAACCCTTTCATTATAGTGTGGCTGTTTTATTTTTTTTTTCCAAAGCAACATAGCTGTCAGCCAATTAAATGCTGATATATGTAGAAGTTGTACATATAATTTTAATTGCTAAATTGGAAGATCGTCAAGGTGGTGTATGTCTTAGCCATTAATCTTTAAGTAGGTCAGATTGGTCAGATGCTGAGAGCAGTCTACTACCAGTATTTAACACGTTCTTAAGTAAGCTCCAACACGTTAAACAGATCCTGTTGTCGAGTTGGTCGATAACATGTTTTTCTTCTTCATCCTGCATTCCACATAGTTTTAGACCAGTTCTGTACAGGCTTGCTTAACTGAAGTCGCCTTATGCCCAAACTCGGTTTACCTGTCCCTGGAGATTACTAACAGTAGTTAATGCCATCTGTTTTTTCACTCTGCTGACCCTGACACGGTAGCAGGGCAACAGTGGAGAAATGTGTGGTGTTACAGTTCTGTGACCCTCAGAGGATAACAGGTAGTTTCTTGTGATACACTAACCAAGAACAGGAACCTCAAGGTTAACTACAATTAGATTAAAGGACGTGTGTAAATTCTCCTGATGTGTGTGCTGTTATATAGAAATATCACTGCACGTTCAAGATTGTAGGGTACTTCCATGACCAATAAAAATTTCAGCCAAAATATTTCGTACTGGTTTAGGATTTTTTTCCCCTACTGAAGTCTTATGTAACTTCAGCGTCCCTTTCCAGTCCAGGAGCAGTTATGTAGACCAATGATTATCTGTGTACGTTCACTTTATAGGTTAATATTCAACTACCAGCCTCGAAGCAAAATGACTTGGAAGAGCAGAAACACAATAAGGATGTACCTGAAATAGTACCTACAGTAAAAAAGACGGACCCACTGCAGGCTAAAGGTGAGCTAGAATTAGCAACTGGTTAAGAACATTTGTAATTTAATTGAACATTAAAAAACACTTTTGTACACACGATTAAGATGGAAAAAGTGACACCAGTAGACTGAACTATAATCAATTTCCTAGCTGTGGAGAGGTGTGATACCTATTCAAGCATTTTTATTAGTAGCATTTCTACTAGTTCGGTTTTGTTGGATATGTTGCACGTAAAGGAAAATACAAATATTTACAAATCTGGAGTCCTACTTCTCATTTAATATGGAGAAAGTATCCTGGTTTTGGAAGCAATCATTTTCAAGCACGCTTAAAATTTGCTTTTTTAGTAACTCTGACACATCTAGCCTGCTACTCCACCCTACAGAACAGCTGAGTGTTAGGCTTTAAAGAAACACATGTCCATGCTTCCCACACGTTGTCACTGGGCAAAATGCAAGTCAGGGAAATGATACGCAGGAGATCAGACGAGTTAACTTAATGGTTGCTTTTGGCACTGAACTCTCAGAAACTGTTAATGTGAATGGATGTATCGTAACAAATCGATCTCACATAGTACTCTTGTGATAGAAATTCGATTTCCTATTTAATTATTCTTACATGCAGTCTTAAATTAGAATCTTGGGAGTATGCAACTCTCAGAGAGCTAGCAGCTGAAGACAACATCTATATATATTTTATTCAGGCAAACTTTGTCGTGTTTTTTTTTAGTTAAAAATACAGATACAAAGGAAAAAAGATATGGTAATGTCTGCTAAAAGTAATAGCCCTCCTGCACTTCCTCTTCATATTTAAAAATAAGAACAGCTTGATTTACTTGCAAATCTGCCCATGTGACTGCTTTGTTCTGAGCTACTTTTGAACAGCAAAAAGTAACACGAAACATTACTAATAGAAACCTCATGTTTATATAGCACACTGCAATTTTTATTTAAACTGCTCTGTTTCACCCACCCAATTTATTAACTGCACATATCAGAATTTTAAGTACATAGATGTGTGAATCCATTGACAGTAAACAATGCCACAGCAGACTCTACAAGTCCTTTACATGTTCCCAGTAGGAAAAACATGGGTTGTTGTCTTTGACTGATGTGGTTGAAAGATATTTTTTCAGAGGAAAAACAAGAATTGAATAAGATAGATAAAGCAGTATTTAGTAAATGTTTTTAACTTGTGCCACCACTGAAAGGCATTAGGTTTTTCACTTGGAATTGTTTTTATTGTTTGCAGAAAGAATAAATGGCCTTACAGACATCAGAAAACAGGAGGCTAAAGCAGAAGAGGAGAAGCTTTCTAGTGAACTGAAGAACCCACAGGACTCACTCACGGCTGCTGAAGGTCGTAAGGATATGCTGCCCCAGTCAGAGAAGGAGCTGAATCCATCTGAAGATGAAAAACATGTGGCGGGGCAAGATGCATTACAGCCAGCAGCAGAGCAGGCTGCCAGTGAGGAAGTTGAGAGGGAGCAGCTCCTAAATTACGATACTAAGCAGGATGACTCACCCCCTGGAAAGGCTGGTTAGTAGCATGTCGTGTATTGTTGAGAACAGTTGCAGAAATAGGAGTGTGGAATCGGGCATGCTACCAGTGGTGGCAGCTGGACAGACTTAGTATAAGGTTTCATATAGGTTAGTGTGAGATCTAAAAGATTAGTCAATCCTCAGGGGTCTTCTACAGCCAGTGAGTAAAGACAAAGGCTTCTGTTTCTGCAACATCAAGCTACGAGGCTGGGTTCTTCTGCATCACCATACCTTCCTTCCTGTCTCTCGCTCCATTGGGGAGCAAGCAATACAGCTATTTGGGGATTAGCCCCAAAACTTTTTGGTATTGAGGCTTTGTAACACATGATGCATTGGAAAAGGATAAGGTGTTAACCATCTAAAGCACTGATGAGTAGAGAGATGCTATGTACTGACATTTTGCAGATAGTCTTTATAGTGTTAATGTGCAAATGCTAGCTATCTCTACTTCAGAATAAGCTCCATGAATAAATCTCAACCCAAGACTTCAGGTATCTAAAACTTATTATCATAAGTCTGCAAAACTGCAGATCAGATGTTGCAAAGGTGCCAGCTTGTGGCATCTACTACATATGTCCCTGAACTATGTACCTCCACAGCACTAAGCAGCAGAGTATTGATGTCATGCCTAAAGCTGACCAGAGTCTAGACATCCCTCTGTCTTGGGGAACCTGGTCTCAGGTGGACCCAGCAGCCCATGTAGAGTAATTGAGAGGAAGCCTTATGGTAGTCAGAGCAGGAATTGACACCCACAAAAAAATGCTGTTTATGCTTTTCTAGTAAAAACATTCATAGAATCACAAGTAACAATGTTAACACTGTTGATAACTTGGCAGGGATAAATAGTCTCATCTGCATGGCTAAAGCAATACTTTTCCAGCGGCTCTGAAAAGATGCTGGCCAGAGCAGGCTGTCCCCCAAAGAGATGTGAATACATAAGTTACCTAAACTGCTTCCATTTTAACAGAAATAAATAGCAGAAAGATTAGGTTAAAAAAAAAAAATCATCCAACAATTAGTGCAAGAAAAAACTGCCACGTAGCCTGTGAAAGGTCAAAGTTTCTGTGAGCTAGAAAGTACAGCAGGATATTCTTCAGGCTTGATCATTCAACAAAAAGTATCATAACTTCTACTGCATAGGTTCCTTGTAGCCAAAGGAACCTACGGTAGAAACAGATTTCTTCTACATTCTCTGAGCATCCTCTTTCTTTCAATAAAAGCTTATTTTAAAAGTTTGAGACCTTTAGGTCTGCAACTGTAAAAATCTCTTTGATGTGGTGGTCTGAACATGGACAATATAAGCCTCAAACTTTTCAAGACTGTTTCTAAGCCAATTACTAATTAGAGGGCATATCTTGAGAACGTTCAGAACCAGGCTCCAGCCTAGTTCTACAAAAACCTAGTCTAAACAGCAATTCATTCAGCAGCAAAGGGAATTCTGTGGAAGATTGTTACAGTAACTTGTAACATTCTTGTGCAGATGACCTTACAGTATAGCATAAAACTAATTAATTTCAACATTCTTCCAGACCAACAGGAGCATGAAGCACTGAAACAGGCCAAGAATGTGGATTACAATTTAGATGAGAATGAAGCTGAATCAGAAAGGGACAAGCAAGCAGCACTTGCAGGCATTGAAAATGGTAAAAAAGAAAAAAAAAGTTTTAACTGAAGTACCACATGCTGAAAATTTATTAAGATGGTATTTTGAATGGTATCCTCTAGCAGATATAGCTAGCTAATTTGTTTGTTATTTGAGCTTTCCCTCAAGGTGACAGAGTGACATATTTTCTGTGTAGCATCACTGAAGCTACTGTTTAACATGTGGTGGGGAAGGGACAGTATATGTAGCTTTACTATACTACACAGTACTCAACAGTCCTTTCAGAATTTCTCCTGCTGTGTTCTAGATTGTTTTCTAGATGAAGAACTCTCAGTTCTACCTCTTTAAAGAGATTTCTATACCTTTTTCTTTTTGTAATTAGTTCAAAACCCTGAAGATATGAAGAAACACCTATCTGAGCAAGGTGAAGAACGACAGAAGTTGTGAACAAAGGAGGTTCATGATGCAACACAGTCACCTCTTCATATAAATGCAGCAATGATGACAGCAAAGTGATCTGAGAATGTTTTGATTATCTTCTCAAGGCTTCAATAAGGGCCCCAATGAAGTAGTAGTTTCTTATGAAGTTTTAGTACTGTTTCAGTGGTGAAAAAAAATAATCTTAAATCTCTGGAGGCTTGTTTGAAAGCATCTTGACCTCTGCAATTACTCTTTCCTTCCTACCAATTATAAAATTGAAATCAGCTAGCAGTAAGTGTAGTAACTTTGAAGTCAGCTAACTTGCACAGTCATAGTACAATAACAATACGTGTGGATAGGTGGTAGATGAAAGAGAATCCTCTACCAAGGATAGATCTCTCCCCTGAGCAATGCAGTAGAGAAATTCCCCTGCCTCGTTTTAAGAGGAGCTAACTTACCTTGACAAAAACATGTGAAGGATGAAAAATGGCCCATGCTGCAGTCTACCTTTGTGCCTGTTCTGGCACCTTTTTCCCCGAAATGTAGATAGAGTCAGAAAGCATGACTGTAGTCCCTAGACAGTATGCAGTAGGATATATTTTCCTGGGCCTCCTAAATGAAATTGCAAGGCTACACTATCTATAACCAGGCTGAAACACTGTCCTGCTTGTGTTCTTGGCTTTTAGGTTAAAAAAAAAAAAGGGGGGATTTTGACACTTTTGTCTTCTCATTAAGAGATTAGCAGGAAGACTTTTCTGAAAGCTTTGTTGGGACTCCTGCTCACAAGATGAGTACTACAGTCTGGTTCAGTTACCACTAACTTGCACCAGTTCAGACTGTAAAAGTTAAAACTCCTGAACTTTTTTTCCTGAGAAAAGCCATCTGAAATGGTGTGCTATGACTACCCTTTACTTCACCCAGCCACTATCTTCTGCTAAAAGGTAGAAAGGCAAACACTTGCTTTGTAGAACAGCAAATCTGTGTCTCTCTCTCTCAGCTGTTCAGAGTGACTAATCTTCTCTCCCAGACTTTTGAAGAAGGTAGACCAGACTATGCATTTACCAGACATCTCTCTGTCTCCCACAGGTGAAGCTGTAGCTGTTGTGAAATCCTATGTTATGCACAATGTATCATGTTGTTAATGTTCTGTAGTCTTTGTCTTTTCTGTAGCTTGTTGAATGTAAACTAGAAACTAGTTTACTTGAGATAACCTAGAAATACCCTCTACTACCACCAAGGCACCCTTAACTGTAATCCAGCCTGCATTGTGTATAGCCAGCTGTTTTGAAGACTATTTGTGTCCCTTCTCAGGACTGACACATGTATTTTCAGTAGTCCTTTGGAGTATGAGCCAAACTCTGTCAAGACAGCATGGGAGGGGGCAGACATGACTAACTTCACACCAGCAACTCCATTTAAGAAAATACAAATTTGTCTTGGCTCTCTTAATGCACTTCATTTTGGAACTACTTTTGTTGTGCAGCATTCCTTGGTGGACTAGTTTACAACTCCTGTACCTTAAGATGCCTAAATATGCCAAGTGGAAGACTGGTTCTTTTATGTATGAGAAGAGTATTAGTTGTAACTGAGTGAAAGGCAGAGCTGTTAGGTGCCTATTAAGCCAAAATATGTAAACAGTTCACTGATAGAAGAATTCAAGTTACATGTGGCAAGTCTAAGAAAAGCACTAACTTCCATTACTGAGTCCTTGGCTACTCTTGTTTTTTTCACCATTTAAGGTGGACGTAACTGGTCTGCACTACTACAGTCTATATAGCAAGGGAAACAAATGCTTGTCATCAGGAGAGAAAAGGGGATATGAACATATCTAACTGACAAGTATTGGGAAACTTGGGCTATTAAGTTATCTTTTGCAAATAATGGCATCTTTTAACATCTAAATGTTTACATACATTGAGTGAAAGGGGCATTTTCTTGGACCTTACTCTGTAAGCTGAGATGAAGTTAATCAGGAATTTAATAGTGATTGTTAAAGAGCACATATTCTAACAGTATAAAATGTACAGTGAAACACTGTATTCAAGTTGAATGACTGGCTTTAACTCAAAACTGGTAAAATCCCAAACAATCAAAATCCTTAAGGTAATTAATATATTGCCAGAGAATTCTTTTAAAACAAACTGTTCTGGCTGTATTCCTGTACAGTACCCAAAGCTGACTGGGCTTCTCACTAGCCAGCTAGATGTTGTCCTCTCCATAAATGACACCACTTCTGCACCAACCACACTTGTTAACCTCAGAGTAGGGGGGTCTGAAAACCTGCATAACAGCAATGTTCAAAAAGCATAGAAAGAACACAATCATCTTATTCTCCATGGCTTCAAGTGCTACAGGAATGTAACTAGGGTGGTAGATTTCTAGTAGACAAGTGGCCTGTATGTTTACTATGTCGAATTTTAAAATTAAAGGACTTTCAGTTGAACAAAGTGAGATTCATTTGGAACTGTGGTTTAGGTAGTGTTGTCTGTCACTAAAATTTGTAGTTGCATGAGGCAGGGAAAGCTTCTTTGCTTTTGAGGTTAAATTGTCCTTGATTTTTTTTAAAAACTAAGCCTGATCCATTTTAGATAAGCATTTTAAAATAAAAAATAATCTTCTCCACTGTGTATTCACCTTATTCTATACTATTCATCTACTTTTAATGTTAATGAAAATGGGAAAGATGATCATTTCTGTTTTCTTACAGTTCTATGACAAGTTCCAAGACTGAGACTTGGTTTATCTTTTACTTGCTGCTTCCTTTGGAGGAATACCAAAGGCTGTCCTTGAGCTGCTGTCATGTAGTTCAAGATTAAGACAGGAAGGATTTTTGTGACTATTTACAAGAAGGCAGCAAAAGCCAGATGAATTCTCAGTGCCCTGCACCAGAAGCAGGCTGCTGACTACATTTTCAAGAATTTTAATCCCTTTGGCAACAATACAGAAGTATTCAAGTATATTAATCATGATGATAAGCTAATATGCAAAATGGCATGCAACCTTCTTAGTGGAGAAATCAGGAGAAGCAAGTCTGCAGGGCAGTAATCCTGTTTATTTCAAAAAGGTGCAAATTGCTGGCAGACAAGTAGGTGTTCCATTTCAGAGTTTCTTCATTGTTTTCCAGCTCTAGCTCAGCAGTGCTGCTGCTTGGATGATGGAGTTAAAGTGGTATTACTCCACAGTACAACTACACATTAGGAGAAACACACACAAGTGTCGTGCATGGTGAAGAGGGAGTTAAAAGCTCGTCGCTGTGGAGGACACCGTTTTGCACCAAAATGAAAAGTTGTCCTGTTGAACACAGTCACACCTGGAGGGTTTGCTTTTATGGTCCAGGTAAGACTTGGCAGTATGGTGGTTTAATCAAAGAGCAAGTCAGCTTTTTTAATGTTTTACATCTTGTAGCAGAAGGTTGCTTAGCACAACAGCTTACCTTTTATTATTTCACATCTTGAAACACAGCAGGAAGAACCATCCCAGGAAGGAAAGGGTAGGGGTTTGGGGCTTCTCCTGTTTGAGATTTCTACCTCTATCAGCCATTACAGAGGGCAGTACAATCCAGCAGCAGCATTGCAGTCAAAACAACAGAAGGAAGATCATGCAAGAGCTGACTGAGTAACAGAACAAATTGACCATCCCTCCTTTGCAATGGCAAAGTAACAACAGGAATGAAATAAAGTTGCAGAGTAGTTAAAATACATTCCTTGTGTCTTGTGGTCCTGCGTGACTATTCAGTGCTGGTTACGCAGATTCTCCGATACCACAAAGAATTAAGACAAAGGAACAAACTGCAACTAGAAATAACTTACTCCATTTCTCACTGTCTTCAAGGACATCTACATTTGAGACAAAATACCTCCTGGCCTATTGACTTCAGTGAAACAAATCACTAAATTCAGTGCAGTAGGAGCTAAATGACTAGTTTTCATCTTAATTTCTGTACAGATTGTTTTAGCTTGCAGGGCTTGGCAAGAAAAGAACTCAGTCTTTCTACTTGCAAGTGAGCAAAATCAGATGCAGTTTAAGTATGGAAACTCACAGACTCTCCAAGTGGCTTTGTTCAAAGCAGAATTTCAGTAGCTCAGCTGTGCCTATCACACATGAGGCTCTACTGCATTGTCTTTATTCAGTCTAAAATGTTATGAAATCCCTAAACCACCATTTTTCATCAAGAGCTCATTCATAAAAATGATTTATGATTAAATCTGTAAAAAATCAATTAAGGTACAACATTCTTCAACAATACAGTTGATTAAAATCAGCTTCACCCATAAAACTTTATACAAACCACTTAGAAACAGCAGCTGTCATTCAGACTACGTAAAGACATCAGATAAAGATATTCCATGTAACATTACTTTTGTCCTGTATCCTCAGTCAAGGTATAGCATTAGATATTCCATCCTACAGCTGGTATCTGATAGACAGATTATGCTTCAGATATCCTAACAATCTCTTGTCTTTCAAACAAGCTTCACAACTGGAAAATATTTATGAGGAGAGAAGTCAAATTCTGGAGGAACCTAGAAAGAAAAGATTTAAAACCTTACACAGCCATATTGCTGAACTCAAAATGACAGACACCCTGCAGATAGAAGAAAACTTTTACAGAGCAAGTGATTGAAAAAAAAATCCTAGCTCTTTAAATTAGTATCTGAAAAATATCCCAACTCAGTTCTGGATATGCCATTCTTCAGTAGTGATGGGCACAAAGCTGTAAAGTGCTGGTGTGCCTCTTCAGCATGTTCCTTCATCCTCCTGTGCCTCACCTTTGGCAGAAGTCTGAAGGCCCTCTCCTCCCTCTGACCCAGGTGGCACCAGCATTCCCCCTTGTGCTCACACAAGCTGCTGATACGCTGCTACCAATTCTTCCTGTACATTTGTACGTGTCATCCCACATGCACTCCCCAATTTTTCTCCAAAATATTCAGAAACAAGAGTTCTCCATAATTAAATAACTACAACAAACTATTCACAAAGGAAAAATGGAGTAAGTTACTTCCCCAGTTCTTCTAAGAGTTAGGGTA